AGAAGTGGCCTTCCATCACTATGAAGCTGATCCCAGTGGGACATCAGTCCTCTTCATTTGTCCCTAACAGAGATAGCCAGGCCAGTCCAGGGTCTGACTGCAGTTCTACTATAAGGTGCCTCGGTCACGGTCAATGCCCGGCGTACCTGACATGTATCAACCAAACCATGCATAGCGCTTTAGTTTAATAAACTATATCAATTAGGCTATGTATACTTCCAAAAAAAAATATTCCACCGTCCCCCTTTTTTTCCCCCTACAACTAGACTACTGCTGCTACCATACCAATGAGGTAGCTTCTTGCTAACTATGCTATCCAGTCCAACTGGCCAAACTCTTCTAACAAATGGAAAAGAGGAATTCAGCCAACAGTAACACAGCATTTTATTTAGGCTCAGTGAGCATTAGCATTTTGTTCTCAACTTCTTACTTAAAAACCATCAGATGTTGAATCAGAAGCTTCTATCAGATAAAACACAAACAGCACATGTAAAAAGATCTATTCTCTCGCCAAAGCAGAGTATTTATTAAGCATCCGATGAAAGAAGGGAAAACATGTTTACTTGTTGGCTCAGTGGAATGGAGGGGCCGAAGGTTTGGTTCCGTTCCAGAGTGCGACTCGGTTCGCTCATTTAACAGGAGCGAATCCTGAAAATCAAATGATTTTATGCAATCAGCTGGTTTTCCATAGATGGAAAACAATATGCCTCCAAGCAATGAGACCTCCTAAAGTCCATAGCCACCACTAGAAACTATATGACTGCTCACAATCCTTTGCATGAGACAGTAGGCACAATCCATCCTAAAGAGAAAAATACATTATTTGGTGCAGGGCTGAACTGGCCATTGAGCATACAGGGCATGTGCCCAGTGGGCTGACAACCACTGGTGGGTCAGCCCAAGGCTGCAATAATGTAAAACCAAATTATTATATATATTAGATTATATTAATTTTTTAACCATTTTGCCAACTTATAATCATCCATCCATTCAACTTCTGTAATGTTTATCTCAAGTAGGGTGGTGAGGGGTGCTGGGGCCTATCTTCAGCTGTCTACGGGTGAGAGGCGGGGGCGCCAGTCCATCGCATGGCAACACAGAGACACCGAGGACTTATAATCAAATCAGTTATTTAACAAAATAAAACATATCCACCACCCACCTCCAAAAAGGGTTTCCTCTGAATGAATAAGTTATTTAGTAGATTTTCCATTTGGGTCTTTACAATGCCAGAATTTGGCAGCAATTTTAAGTTTGCTTGGATAAATATTTCTTTTAAAATAACATGACCTAATCTTGAAATAGCCTTTTTACTGTTAAGAAAAGCTCTGTGTGTCCTTGAAGCTTTTTCTCTCCGGTTATTTTCCTAAGAAGAGATCACGCAGAATGAGGGCTGCAACTAATGATTATTTTACACTTTAATCTCTGAATTCTGACAGCTAACAAACATGTTAGCATCAAGCCTTAGTCATGTCTGTTTTAAAGAATAAACTAGCTTCTGTTTTAATCACCTTCTGCTCTTCCATTAATGAAATAGCATCACCAGGGACCCCTCAGGCACATAAAAAGTCGCCTAATTCTGTAATTTTCCACCAATGTGTTATTGGCCCTCCCAAACAACTTCACTGTCAGTGATGCTGAGTGCTCCCACATCTCTTCCTTCATGGTGCCCATCTACATTAAGATCCAACATTCTGAGATTAAAGTCATAATTCTGAGATTAAAGTCTGAATGCTGAGAATAAAGTCTGAATTCTGAGATTAAAGTCAGAATACTGAGGGAAAAAAAGTCAGAATTTTGAGATTAAAGTCAGACTACTAAGGAAAAAAAGTCAGAATTCTGAGATTAATATCAGAATACTGAGAAAAAATTCAGAATTCTGAGATTAAAGTCAGTATACCGAGAAAAAAAGTCTGAATTCTGAGATTAAAGTCAGAATACTGAGAAAAAAGTCAGAATTCTGAGATTAAAGTCAGAATGCTGAGGAAAAAAGTCGGATTTCTGAGATTAATATCAGAATACTGAGAAAAAATTCAGAATTCTGAGATTAAAGTCAGTATACTGAGAAAAAAAGTCAGAATTCTGAGATTAAAGTCAGAATTCTGAAATTAAAATCAGACTAGTGAGGAAAAAAGTCAGAATTCTGAAATTAAAATCAGACTAGTGAGGAAAAAAGTCAGAATTCTGAGATTAATATCAGGATACTGAGAAAAAATTCAGAATTCTGAGATTAAAGTCAGAATGCTGAGGAAAAAAGTCGGATTTCTGAGATTAATATCAGAATACTGAGAAAAAATTCAGAATTCTGAGATTAAAGTCAGTATACTGAGAAAAAAAGTCAGAATTCTGAGATTAAAGTCAGAATGCTGAGGAAAAAAAGTCAGAATTCTGAAATTAAAATCAGACTAGTGAGGAAAAAAGTCAGAATTCTGAAATTAAAATCAGACTAGTGAGGAAAAAAGTCAGAATTCTGAGATTAAAATCAGACTAGTGAGGAAAAAAGTCAGAATTCTGAGATTAATATCAGGATACTGAGAAAAAATTCAGAATTCTGAGATTAAAGTCAGAATACTGAGAAAAAAGTGAATTCTCAGATTAAAGTCAGAATATTGAGGGGAAAAAATTCAGAATTCTGAGATTAAAGTCAGAATGCTGAGAAAAAAGTGAATTCTGAGATTAAAGTCAGAATACTGAGAATAAAAGTCTGGATTCTAGGATTAAAGTCAGACTACTGACTTTTTCCCATTTTAAACTGAAGTGGGAAAAAAAAATTTTTTATTCTTCAGTGGCCCTAATCCTCTTCCGTAGATTTCTAATAGGAAAACCCTGATTTAAAAATGTGTGGGGTTACATTAATAAAAATGTGAGAATCAAAGTTGACCAGCAGGGGGAGCCAGATACCCACTGGAGGACCAAAAGCAAATATTCCCCTGAATGCAGAAAACACACACTGCTGTTGCATCATTTGCTATGACGTCTACTGTGCTGAAACAAGTTATGTAACTTGTGGGTGTTTATTTCAGACCTCTGGACCTGGTGAATCAAGTCAAAATACACATTGCACCACCAAAAAGCGACATTAAACAGATAAATTTAAAGGGAGGCGATTCGTCACATTAATACATCCCAAAAAGGATGTTAAAGCATTGATGGAAGCCCAGTTAAACCAGAGACTGTATTTTCTGCCCTGCAAACTAACCTGAGTGAGAAACATATTCACCTAACAGGAATGTTGAAAGTGGCATTAGTTTTATTTAGCAAATCATATTTTGAATCTCCATGGAAGCAAAGGTTTGGCACTCAGGGGGAGTCCAGGCTGCAGCGCTTGCAGGAGGTTGCATCATACCAAATCATTTCTGCAAACAGCGCCCCCTACAGCTGCTGCGAGCCGCAGGCAAGGTGAAAACTAGTCACATTTTGTTGGTGAAAATAGGTGAGCTCATACATCCAGAGACATGTGAGTCAGTCTCTGCTGGTATCAGGGAGTGTTTACAGATCCAGATGAAAGGCCTCAGCCTTGCTCTAAAGATAAGGTTGTTGGACATAGAAAGGTGATGGTTCAGGAGTTCTTATCCGGGTTCAACCCTGACGGGAATAAATAAATAAAACAGATAACGGAGACGATTGTAGTTTAAAGCATTTTATTGCAATTTTTTTTTTTTTTTTTTAGAAAAACAATACAAAATTCTGTTTGCAACTGTCAAATGTTGCCTTGAGTGAACTGCTATCATTCACATGGTACAGTAAAGTGCTTATTTTTAATCAAAAATGTTTTGTTCTTAAATGACAAACTTAATTTCTTCCCCTGAGCTCGATAGGGCCTGGGGCTTTTCAGTGTTAAATTAGGTCATGGGTTTAATAAAATGCTTGTGGACTGTATCTGCATTAACAGACTAACCCGTCTTCATGTTGATGAAAAGGAGCTGATCTTAGGATCCATGTTGGACTGCAGATGACTGGACTGTGGGCTACATTCAAACTGTGTAGGCTTGTGATACTGTCCATTAGAATGACTATTTTAACACTTTGACAAACAATACAAAACTGGAGGCTGCAAGATTTCATTTACCCCCTCCCCCCAAACAAAAACAAAAAAAGGCAGACCAGAACAAAAACTGCAACTGGGCAGATATTAGAAATGGTCATGACCAGTATAACTCTTACAACATCCACACGGACATTACAGAGTGTGGTCGAAGTGTGTGCGTTAAGTTTCCAGCCCCGTTAAATCGGGAACAACTTGAAACTTAAAAGGGGAAAAAATAAAAAGGCAAAAATACTGAAATGTATAGGTATCTTCAAAACCCCAAAGATTGCCTGGATCGTCAGCTTAATGCTTTCAGATTGATAGCAAAGTAGTTTCCAAAAGTGAAGAAGAAACAGCTGCATATATAGAACTTCAAGTAAGTCTCATAAGACATAAAACCCCGTAATGATGAGTGTGTAGAAAAAGTATTTAGATCCATTACAGTGTCCTATTCTCAGCAGAATGGGTCGGTTGGAAACCGCTTCCAGAGTACCGTTGTTGCAGTGCTGCCAACGGGACATGGACCTTTTTCCACATCTCAATGCTACATGATGGACGAGGACGCGTTTATCGTCACAACTTGAACCTTCTTTGGTGAAGCGGCCACAGCTGAGGCGCCGTCGCCGGTCCGTTACATGCCAGTTACAGGGTGAGATTGAACCCATTCCTGACATTTGCCAACTTTCACACAGCAGGGGAAAAATAAAATAAACTGGGCATGAACGCTCCAGATTAAACAAGCTTAACCACATACAGCACACTCTGAACTTTAAAACAATTAAAAGAAAGTTAGAGGACATTTTCAGGTGCTATATCGAAACCAAACAGCACCACAAATAAAAAAAAAATAAAAAAATGAGTGGCACATTGATGTGGAGTCGTCTGATTTCTACGGATTTTTTCCTGGAATGTTTTTCCTTTAAAATGCTTTTCAGTAAAATAATAACCAGCTTTTAATTTATTTTTTTTTTTTAAGTAGTTGAGTTCTGGAAATTCTGCGTGGCAAAAGAAATCAAGATTTGTCAAATTTTTAACGGATCCAATAGAGAGCAAAAGAATAATAAAATAAAGATACTCTGGTCACAGTGGCCGTGTGCTTTTTCAAACCCCTTCAAGGATTTCTAACCTTTACTTGCAAAATATTTAAGGTTATATCAAATGCACAAATTCAACAGTAGAAAAAAAATATATATATACAAAATTCTACTTGTAGAAAAAAAAAAAAAAGTGGATTGCTTACAATGAAAGTAACACTGCCCCAATTTCACTTGTTAAACAATTTAGAGAACCTGAAATTGGCCTGATAAGAAAAAAAAAAGAAATAATTTTGGGTGGCCAGACCCCCCGTACCACAAACTGTTCAATCTTCATGCCATCAGACTTGAAAACAAGAGCTGCGGCGGCTGATAACGTGGAGGAGACAAACTGAAAAAGGGACAGATTAACATTCTTTGCTCTTACAGCATTAAGTGCATGGCCACCGGGCTGATGAGTGCACGCTCTTTCTCAGACACATACTCAGATATAAGAAAATGATCTGCAGTATATGGGGGGGTGGGGGTCTGAGCAGTCTCTAGCCACAGAGCGGACTGCACCAGGCACAGACAGAATTGGCTTTAAGCCCTTTGAACCTCTCGGATACAGAATCCATTAGAGACAGAACAGCCTTCATATTGGCATATTGCATAAGCTTTTAAGTCTGGGCCGCTCGTGTGTGTGTGTGTGTGTGTACACATACAGGCAAAAAGAACGTTCCAGATAACTTAATTCACAGTGGATCCAGTTGTAACATGGGAGCAGCACAACAGGTAGTCCTTTGGTGTCTGAGCTTAGTTTTAAAGTTTGGACTTTTAAACTGAGTCATAAAGAGAAGAAACACTTTCCCAAATCATGAGCCGACCCTCCTCCCCAACCTGAATGTGCTCTATGCAGGTCCTGTGTAGATGTGCTTCAGAAGTGCTGCATAAGGGTAGAAGGCATTCAGAGGGATGGCTGAAAGCGCCACCCTTCTTCACAGGTCGGCATCGAAGCCAGAGAACAGAGGAACCAAGAGTCAAAGAGGAGCCAAAACGGGGAAGGATCTCGGATCAGTCCAGTCCAGAGAGTTCTTGTAAATGAGGTTGAGAACTCCAGGTTTGGAAAGGTTCAAGCACAGTCTCCTACAATGACGAGAGGGGCCAAGAGCTGACAGAGCTCTGCAGCAGAGACAGGCCCCCCCTTCGGCTGGCTGCCCCTCTGCCGGCGCCGCGCCAGCTTGGAGTTGGATGGAGGAGAGAGGCGCATGGAGGAGCCTCCAGCAGCGATCACCAGCGGGACTTCCTGTTGCTGCTGCTCTTCCATACCGTCCTGTTCAGCCAGCTGCCGGTTTACGGCCATGGCCTTGTCTGCGAAGAACGTTAGATCCACAGCACTGCTGTTTCTGGAGAAGAGAGGAAATGAGTAAAAAAAAAAAAAAAAAAGGAAAGCCATCTTTTAAAGCAGGTTTACTGAATAAAGCTTCAGTCTTCTTACCTCTGGTGGATGATTGATTTTGATAAAGAGTCAGACGCTCCCTGTAAGGTTAAAGATTAATATATTAGTAAAGAGGTTTCAGGTTCAGACCCAGAAGTAGACGCTCAGCCATACAGGGACGTTCACACTTACCCCTTGTACCCATGGGTGCTGCAGAACCTGGCTCGCACTCAGACGTTTTTTGGCATCCCGAACCAGAAGTTTGGATATCAGGTCTTTGGCACTTGAGGAGATGTGAGCCCAATCCTTCTCTGGAAACTCGTACTTTCCTTCCTGGATACTTTCAAACAAAGTGTTCTGCGGATAGAGAACGGCCCACCATTAGCCATCTTTGTTTGTGCTGACCGCACACCCACAGAGAATCAATGGTAAAAGAATTACCTGGCAGGTGTGGCAGGGTTCTCCCAGCTCCCATCCGCAGTCACCGCCACATCGACCGACAAACGGCGGATAACCACTCAGCATGATGTAGAGGATGACTCCAAGGCTCCACAGGTCGCAACGCTTGTCATAGATTGTCGCTTCTTCGCTGAAGGCCTCCACGACTTCAGGCGCCATGTACTCTGCTGAGCCACACTAATGGAGAAAAACAAGGATTTAGAGCCGCTGCAAATCAGAATGCCCCAAAACAAGCAGTGCTGCTGAACTCTTGTCAGCTGATACCTTCTGTTATGGCTGAAAGGGGGAAGAGAGCCTATTTTTGCACAGGACCTCATTTGCCTGAGTGTCTGACAGTCACATGTGAATTTTAAATTGGTTTAAAATTCTGATTCAGTTTTCCTTGTAATGAACCGGCTGTTTGCTGCTTTAAGCTTAACGTTAAACTTTACACAGCTGCATGGGGCTGTTTATAGGGACAGTCGCTGCCTTGATTTGTAGCTGGGGAGGAAATGGGGGCAAACATCAAAGTGCTGGGAGAGGATTGACTGTTCTTTACAGCTGGGGCAAAGGCTGAGCAACAGTTAGCTGCACAAGTTGGATACAAACAGCAACATTTAAGGGAATAGAAAGAGAAGCAGGTTGATCTAACAGATTCCCTAAAGGCATTTTAGCTTGGGGATTAATGAGACTCTTACAAGTTACCACCCCTGAACGTGCATCTATTAAAGCCAGTGTTTACACAGTAGGTGTTCATTGTGCCCCCGTACCATACAGACCAGCTGCCTCCAAACAACCCCCCCATCCCAGCTGCTTCCTTCTGCAATAAAATTCACTGCAGAGGAATCTCAACTCAAACAAAGCTGCTTCTGTCACTATATCCCCTCCCCCACCTTTTATTCTCCATGTTTGGGGTGACCTGCTACCCAGAAAAAAACAGGATTTTTCACCCGTTGATATCTGAGCACCTACTCAGCATTAAGCCTAAAGTGGAAAGCAGTGAAAACTCAACTTGCTGAAACAGGAAACCAAGAACACCACAGAAAAAAAAAGAAAAAAAAAAGAAGCAAGGATCTGATGGGACATCCTTAAACTCATTTACTCTTCCTGTACATCTGTTGCAATCACCTTGTTCGCTTACAGCAACATCCTCCTTAAACCTTCCTGTAAGCTGCAGTTATCTTCTGCTCTGCGGCTAGATTTGTTGGTGCTGCAGCCCGGGGGCTTTCCACCAACCATGTGACCAGTCAGGCCACACTGGCAGCTCTGACGACATACCTCTGCCGCGTGTAAACTACAGGATTAGCTGAAGAAGTTTACTGAACATGTTGGGTCAGGCAAAGACACACCTGTAGCAACCAAAAGCAGCTCTGAATTAATGAAGCTGCATTTTCTTCCGTCACGTTCAGATTCTGCAGTTTAATTCCTGCAATTAATTTGCATCTCTCCCTGCTCTGACCCAGTGATTTCATTCATGTGCAGTAAAATGCTTTGGGTGCAGCTGATAAATCTAAACACTTTTTGCAACAGCAGCTGTAGGAATGTGATTAAAAGGGAGCGGAGTGCAACTGCTAAGCAAGACAAGAAAATCAGATAACATTGTTCCACCGATCAAGGAGACAAAAACAAGCTTCAGCGCATGACCAGACAGGATATTTAGCCCTCCCTGCTTCCCTCCCCTTGCTAACAGCTTCAGCCAACCACGGCCCAGTTGCTAGGTGGTGGGGGAAGGACTAACATTTCTAGAATAAGCTTTATGAACAGCCTTTGTAGAAAAAAAAAAACAAACATAAAGGAAAGGGCAGGTTTGAGGGGGCCGCTGGCCAGAGACATTTGCAGAAGAGGCATAACTTTCCACCCCCCACCCCGCCTCTCACAGAGAGGGAGAGAGAGAAAAAAAGAAACTAGTTTGTGTTTCTCTTATCCGTGCCTTAGGATATGGCCTTGTAAAAGTTATACTGCCTTCTTACAGGCTTTAAATCCCCAAGGATATCACACAATGTTCTAACCTGCGGATCAACTAGTCTGTTAATAAATCCTAACACCCAAAGTGATAAAAAAACAAAAAGTCCCCTCTGAATAGTTCGAAGTACAAATGTCCCAAACTGCAACAACTTTAGGAAATCTAAATTTGATCCAGAAGTTGAACAGTAAAACCTGATTCACGTCTCATGGCAAAGCTAAAGTTCACCTTCATGTTTCTAACCCCCCCAACCTGCTCTGCTGCACGTTTTCACCTCAACTTTTGCAGGACAGCAGTCGCCCTGTTTTCTGGATACAGTTCAGAGGAGATGCTATGTTGGAACAAAACGGGGTTAAACAAACCTAACCTCCAAACTAATGGAGCTAAATATTTACCACAGATAAGCAAAAGAACAACATCAAACAGAGCAGTTTATAAAGAGAGGATCTGGGAAACAATCCAAGCTCTTTGAAAGAAAGGACATTGCTCTGTACAGCCATAAGCTCACACCACAGTTCCTCCCTGAATCCATCAACTATCCAGCAGCAGACAGCTCTGAGGGTTGCTCAACAGGTGATCAGATAGAAAGATCCATTTACAGCCACAGCGAGGACATAAAAATAATTTTTGCATGACATGTTTAAACCTCCACTGATGAGGATATGGAAAACAATCAGCTGGACTTACAGGAGTGAGGAGTTCAGGGGTAGAGATGGGAGAGCTGTCACTGTTCAGTTTGATCCCACTGCCCAGGTCAAAGTCACAGATCTTGAGTGGAAAAATCTGTCCAGAAAAAAATTCAAGTTAGTTAGGCTGCATCAGGTCAAGTGAAAGATTCATTATGATAAAAATGGATATCGTCACAAATTCCATTCAACAGCTACATGTGCTAGCCTTTGAGCCAAGTGGAGATAACTCACCTTGTCTGCACTCTCACAGAGAATGTTTTCGGGCTTCAGATCTCTGTGAGCCATTCCTGAAAAACACATAGAAGAAAATCAGTCTATTAAATTCCTGTTTAATGTTGAGATAAATCTGGAGTCCAATGCAAACACAGCTGAATGCATATGGTCTTACCTTTGTTATGCAGGAAATCTAAAGCGCTGGCGATGTCATAGACAACCAGACTGGCTTCCCGCTCACTGAAGTGCTGCCTCTTGTGAATTTGCTCCAGGACTGACCCTAATATGGGGGTGAAGGTTAACCGTTTAGCCTAATTGAAAAACACAATGAACCTAGACCATCAATAAAGAAGGGAACATACCTCCTCGGAGCTTTTCAAAGACCAGGTAGAATTTGTCTTCCTCTTCAAAAAACTCCACCAGCTCCAGGATATTCCTGCAGAACAGAAGGAAATATCTAAAAGTTAGACATCCAGTGATCTGGACATGACATACATTATGCTGTACTTAAAAGCTGTAATGAGTGTAATATACCTGTGGCCCTGACACTGGTAAAGCATCTCCACCTCACGGAAGACACGGCTGCGGCTATGACCTGGTCTTTTTTCAATCATCTGAAACAGAAGAAGAGGGAAGTTAATATGTAAAAATCATTGAAGGTTCTTGAAAACGTGTTCCTTTTGAAGAATATAAAGTTATTTGACTCATTTCAGCAACTGTTCAAACTGAAAGAGCACAAAACCAGAATCTGCATAGAAATAAACTTTGTGAGTGGAAACCACTCAGAGCCATGTGGTCCCCTGCTAATCAACCCAGATCTCCAAGGGCCCTTATTGCTCTCTTCCAGTTCCTAATGCTAGATTGTTAACAACATAAAAAACCCTCACTAAAAATAACCGTGTCTGGAAATACACCACAGCAAGGCCAACAGCTGCACAGCACCCTGCCAAGAGAGACTGAAAGATTGCTGACAGCAAAGCAGGGGCCTGAAATTTCCAGCCCTGGCTGGTTATTGTCCAATTCGGAGGCTGTGCATGCCTCCCTTCCTGGTAGCTGGATTACTGACGGTATTGAAGCACAGAGGGGCCCAGAGTTGCAGTGTATGTTAAGGATTACTGCACTGACAAGAGGCTCATGAGTAGACCAGAGCCTGTTCACAGGTTCTGTCTGAGTCAGTAGAGCCATAAACACAGTGGCTAGGCTCTCCTAAAAACAAAACTCCATTTAAAAAGAAAATCCTGCAAAAGCTTTAAAATATAAACAATCCATCTGCTACTAGAAGAGTGTAGGTAGTTTAGGAATATCACCCAGTTACAACCCTGGGAACAAAATAACTTTATTATAAGCCCTTTGTTCAGAAGCCTGCAGTCAGACACGCGGCACAGACTTCCATTACGGAGGCGCACGCCGACCCAAAACATCCCAGAGTCTGGAGGGGGAGGGGAGAGACGGGACATCTGGCAGGAGCAGTCTGAACCCCCCCTCCGTCTCTTCAAAGACCTCCAGTAACCAACTTTCCTGCCTTCTCTCCCTGCATAACTACTAACCCCCCCTTAACCCTCCTATTGCAAAGTTTGAACGTGTAACAAACACTTGAAGAATAAACATCCTGTCTGCAAGTTAAACTGAGTCAGATGCTCACTTTCTATTCAGAAAATCGTAAGAAAAAAAAAAGTAGTAAGAGCTACAAAAAGTGAGAACAAAAACAGTGTAAAAATACCGGGTCACATACCGCCCCCTCCTTCCTCTTTGGGTTTTGTTTTGGAACAGTACACAGTACATTATGTTCCCACTATGAGCGTCCTCTGTAGGCAAAAGGGGTAAAATAAAAAGGGGTGGATATATTCCACAAAGCTCTCCGATAGGCCAAACTAGAATCGAGAGAGGAAGTGTCCGATAACAGTGCTGCTAACTGAAAACAGTGCAGAGGTAGCACAGAGGAGCTCTGGAAACATTCAGAGGCCCCCCACCTCAAGCAGAAGGGACATAAATAGTACTTGAGAGGGTTTTGTTGTTGTCTTTTTTAACTCTACAAACAGCTACGGATACCAATCTAATCAGCCAAAAGAGCTTTCTTGATATTTCATGCAGCAGTGAGTCTCCAAAAATCTTTTTTTTTTGGAAATGGAAAAGTTAATCCTGATTTCAGACAGAAGAGAAAACCCATGCTGCAACACCAAAAAAAATGTCTAGTCCGTGCAGCAGTGCCTTACCTTGACAGCATATTCTTTGTTGGTGATAAGGCTGATGCAAGCTTGCACTCTGGCATAGGCACCCTCTCCTAGTACTTCTTCCTGGAGTCTGTAGACATCTGAGGAATAGTGGCAGGTTGTTAAAATCATCAGTTATGTCCAACAACAGATATTTATCAACCTAAACATTTCCCACCTAAAAAAAAAAAACCCCACGACACCATTATTTCTCACTATTAAATGTCCAAACAAATGCAACATGTACAACCCCCTCCCCTCCAAAAACGCATAAACAAACAACAGGTTGGACATCAATAAGGGGTATTAGCCTCAGCCCAACTTAAACTGACATGGCTGTCTTTAAAAAAAATTTAAAAACTTGTCAAACAGTGATATAAATGCCAATATTTATTCTGCATCAACAATCCAAACAATGTTTGTCACATGTTTTAGGAAAAGCAGCATGAAACATTAACAGTTAAGATTTTTTTTTTTACCTTCAAATCGTCCAGAGAAACTGTCAGTTGCCCTGCAACGCTTTTTCTTCTTGTTTCTCTTCTTGGCATCGGGAATGTCAATAGGCTGGCTTGAAGGCATATCTAACAAATGAGGACATTATTAGAAAACAAAACGAGGGATAACTTAACTTAGAGAGTTTGAGGTGGAATGGATCAAAGCTTTTATTTAAGCTGCCTGAAACACTCACCGTGTCTTGGGGCAGAACCAAATTTAAATGAAGAATCAAGGTGATGGGATCCATTCTTGGTGAAGTCGTCTAATTCAAAGGGATTTTGACCCTGAGGAAGTCATAAATGTTGTTATTGTACAAAGTCTCAGTTAACAGCTCGGTCAAGATCAGCAGTTGGGCATTTCTGTTCTGATATGGCATTATCAACTCAACTTCAAAAACTAATTTGAAGCACAATCAGAAATCCTTAACAAGAAAAGAGATGATTTAACTATTAAATCTTTATTTGAAAACTTTTTTTTTTCTATTCTTGCTGAAGCACTTTCAACAAACCTGCACATACATGTGTAGTCAGCCATTAACCATGGCACAATACATTTTAGGATGATCCCCCTTTCAACACTGATAGTCCTGCTCTGATTACAAACTGCAGCCCTCCCCAACATGGCTTCTGGATACACTCACCTTGAAAGAGCGATGGAATCCAGTGACTTCGGTGATCTTGTTTTGAACCATTTTTGCTTTGATTCGGTTGATTTATTTCCTTGGAGGATGTGCGGCGGCAGTGGTTTGATTTTTGCGGTGTATCAATTTGCACTCCTCCGAAACGAGAGTCGTTTCAGTGAGAGCAGCAAGTGATGACACTGCGCTTGGTGGTAAGCTGCTATGGCGCTGCTAAACGGGAGCCCTGGATGGACGAAACAAACACCCACAAAAAAATAAAATACCAAAAAGCTTCAACCTAGAACCACTTATTTTTATAACTGAACATTTAAACTAAATGCTAATCCTGTCCGAGTAAATTCACACCACATAACGAGAACACAGGTTTGCTGTATATTTAAAAGTGCCAGAATTCTCCACCAGGACATTTTAAGCGAGCGGGACGCCCCCAACCGTCAAACTAACATATCTGATACTGACTGTGCAGCGCACGCGAGGTTTAAACCGTTAAACTAGACTGTAACGGTCGACCAGCTGCACATTTAACTCGCCATTTGGAACTACAAATAAAAAATGTTTAGAAAAATGGAGCTCGGTTTACTTACCCCGTTGTTTAAGTTATAGCTCCAGTTTTAGCGTCGGTGTTTGACCCACTGCTCCAACGGCCGCTGAGGGCAGTCAAATGGGATATTCGCCGGATAATTTGTGCGTGGAAGGTGGCTGGAAAACTACGGCGTGGGTGTTTTTATAACCTCCTGGTGGCTCCTCCTCCACCACCTCCTCCCCCGTCCCACTAGCAACGGACGAGAGGCGTCACGTGCTTTCTAGAAAAGGACATCTTGGCTCGGTTCCATTTCGATTAAGTTTTAATATTTAAATGAGTTATTTGAGTCTGGCGCATAAATACATCACATTTTTATTGCTTGATGGAAAATATAATTCATATTTCTTAGTGAAATCTCTTGTAAGGTAATGATAACATTTAACAGCAGGGGTAGCGTCACTACGCAGCCATTGCGCTCTGTTTAGCTTCATTACGGCGGAATGTGTGTGTGTGTGTGTGTGTGTGTGTGTGTGTGTGTGTGTGTGTGTGTGTGTGTGTGTGTGTAAGGAAATGGTGAATACGTGCGTGGCGGCACAGTCGGCACGTACACACGTCCTGTGGGGATTTTTTTTACTCGAGATGGGCTGCAGAGGAACAACTTGTCGACAGACGCGGAGTGTTTTGGTATCAAATCACAAGCATGGCTTCTACTGATCACATCAATAAAAAAAAAAAAATGAAACATCGCCCCTTGCAAAGAGAATGCAATGGCGGGTATCCCGTTCTAGTTCTGTTATGCATAAACCCTCTACAGATCTATCTGTGGATTCATGCATGCCTATGAGCACGCGACAAAAAAACCCACGGCTGACTCAATCCACTCAGCTTGTTACTGACATCCGCTACTTGATGCAATCTTACAAAGACATGGAACCAGCACAGATTTTAATATATGGAATCTTCTCTTTAAAAACTAAAGATTTCTTTGGAGGATTTTTGTTAGATTCAGGTCAATAAATTAACTAGTTTTTTTCTGTTTTTGTCTAAATAAAAAGCAGATATAGACTGACAAAAAATATATATATATTTTTTCTCATTTCCTTATGATTTTTTTTCCCAGCTTTTTACTGTCATTACACTCTCACAAGTACAGAGCAACAAAATGAACTCTGCATTTACCCCATTCCCTTGGGGGGCGGTGGGCTGCCATTGTGTGGCACCCGGGAGCAGTGGGGTTAAGGGTTTTTTGCCATACTGGGGGGGCCAGTATGGCAGTCTATGGGGCTTGAAGTCAGAACCACTAGATTCCCTGCTGTATGCCCTAACCAGTAGGCCACCATTCCCCTAAGGATGATACAGTCAGGGGCGGATTTAGGAAATTTGGGGCCCTAGGCAAAGACAGGCATGGGGCCCTCTGAATTGAGAAGACAACACATAAAACAGACCCATTATACAGATACGTTTTGCCAATCAGTAAGCCCATTCTATCTTAGCTGATTGCTCCTTCTATTGTTTCCAAAAAGGCGACGGCAAAAGTAAATAACCCAGTCCTTCTTTTCACTGTAGACAAGCCATCATCTGCTTATCTGTTCTCCATTTTTAATTTGGATGAAATAAAAGCTGCATGAATCATGACAGCAGACAAGATAGAGCAGAGCAGGAGGTGGGGTTACCAATCTACTTGCTCTGGAGTGCAGAGTTCGGTGCCCTTATACATTGTCACCAAAGTCTCCAGTTGCAGAAAAAAGTCGTTAGATTTGGTGCTAGGCTCTTTTTGGAAATAAAAGAGCCAGAGAGGTCTGAAAAGTCGCTGAATATAGCGACAAAAGCGCTAAGTTGGCAACACTGGTCTTCCCAAAGTTTGTTTTCATACGGCTTGCTACTGTCTGTTTGGACCTTTCTGAACATGTGCAGCAAATTGACTGCACATAAGCGTTCTGATGGTATTTTAGCAAAAGGATTTTTATCAAAAACATAATCAATGTGCACAAATAAGGAATAGCTGTATTAACTATACATGTAAACAGAGTTTTATGGGGGCCCGCGGAAATTGGGGTCCTAGGCAACTGCCTAGTTTTGCCTATTGGTAAAGTTGATGTTTTTTAATGTTTTAGTTAATCAGTTATGATTGATTACAGAAATGCTTACTCACCAGATTCAGATATCTGATTTTGGCCCAAACTATTCTGTTTTTATAGCTGCAAGTCCTAAAAATCACACCTGACCTAAATAGAATTACAATTCATCAGTAGAGGCTCTAATTAGCCTGAATCTGTTAATTTAGTTACGGAAATAACATGCTCATTTGAATGCACCTGCAGGTGTTGTTTTGCATGTTATAAAATCTTGACTTAAATCAAGAATATCATGCAATCAGAATTGCTTTTATTCTGCTTCAATATATGCTGCATTAAAGTTGTCAGACAGATGTGTGCAACATCTGTAGTCCCTGATATGCAAGTATGTGAATCCCATTGAGCGATAGGGAGGATTTGTAAACAAGCAGGTGCAGATAAGCCCTTCTGTGATGTGCAATGACGCAAACATGCATGTTTTTGCAGCCCCATGGAGCTCTTGTTCTGACGAGGATGGTGACGATGTGTCATGGCTGTGATAATGAAAGATATCCAAGAAATCTAAATGTGCAGAAAAGATCACACAAACTAAACCATCTGCTAACTGTGAGATTCCTCAGCAGTGTCACTGCACAGATCACATGCTCATGCAGTATTTCTATCATATCAAATAGCTACTGTGATCCACTGTAAGTAAAGGGTCTCCTGACAACTATATAGATTGTTTATATCTGATGTATGATTACATTTAAAGCCTTTTAAACACGTTTTATGTTTATTATTTGAGGTCTGGCAGCCTTATCACACCACATTCTTTGTCCATAGACTGCAGCGTGTCTCATGTGATGATAATTATTGCAATTAATCCTCAGTGCACAGTCCTGTTCTATGTATGTATTTATGGGTCCTTGGTTAAGCCGTGTAAACTTGCTGTTAACTGTAAGCAGTCTTGTGACTGGAGTCTCTTTGCTCCTCCTTTAACTTTCCGCCCACTCAAACATAAACCTAAAGGTAGCAAAACATTACGCAAGCTTTCAGCTCACTCTACTTATCCAAGAGCACATCATGTAGTCGAGGCTTTCAGAAAAACAAGATCTCATTTGGAAGTGGGTGGGACGTTGTCAGAGTTACTGCAGGTCAAGCTGGGGCAGAATGGGCTGACACATGAATACCTTCAGATGGCTACAACTCAGTCTGATGTGGAAGGAGTCCTCCTTTTCTCTGCAGCTCACAGGATCACGCTGCACAGATTAGAAGTGCACTGATGTCTTAGTTGTTTTTAACAGAATAAGGAATAAATTAATACGTTTTTTGTCCTTCAAGCAATTCAGTAAATTACAAATTTAACAAAATAACATCGTTTATAACTAATGATACTAGGGCTGCAAATAACGACTATTTTGCTAATTGATTATTCTTTGGATTATTTATCAATTAATAATCTGAAAGCAAAAGGTTCCTTAAAGAAGAATTTTTTACTGAATTAAACCATGTGAAACGAAAACCTTTCCTGGATAGAGCATATTGACAGATTAAAAATTTTGATTGATGCAAAATATTTATATATATATTTGTTTTTACAATGTTGGTACAGTTTCTGCTCTAAGTAGGTTGCTCTGTCAGCTAAAGCAATGTTTTCAAGTCAGTATACTCCAATTAACGATTCATTGATTATTAAATTAGTTGACAATTATGATTAATCACGATGAATCCGATAGTTTCAGCCCTAAATGATACAAATAACTTCATTAGGACCCATAAACTGATGGCGAGAAGGAGCAGGGACCCCCTAATTACATATATTATATGAAATTGTGTTATATAAAACTGGTCCTATTGTCACTCTATTAATATGGATTCATGTAATGGAAGTAATTTCTCCCTGGGATTATTAAAGTATTTCTGATTCTGATTCCTGGTTGATGCGACAGGTGTTGTGAATGAAACGGTGCCCAGCTTGAAAGAGCTCCTGTGTGTCGCTGAACGTGTGCATTGATGACTGACAGACATCTTCTGCCTCCATTTATCTGTTTACTACAGTCTGTTGATTTTATGTTAATATTTATTTGAAGACATTTCAATTAGTGGAAAGAATTGCAGGTGGGAATATAAAATAAAAAGTCTAATCAACCATTCACGACCCCCATGCAGGACCTCTGTTGACCACCAGGGAGGCTGGTTCATTTTGCAACAGTGCAGTGCTTCCAGTTGGTCTATATTGAGCTAAATCAAATGCCCCTAGTGGCTAAAAGTTACACAAAGTTGCGTTAACAGACATGCATCTCATAGCTCACCAACAGGGGGACGGACTTCACTTCTTGTGAAAGCCTAGGATCATTCCTTCAGCTAGCTGATTGACAGTGAAAAGCAGCAAATGTGTATGTGTCTTTTGTGCACGTTTTTCAACCCTGGGGCTCAAGGTACGTTAGCATGCACGTTTATAGATGTTTGACCTCCTCAGCTCACCTGATATCAGTTGAAGGCTGGTCAACAGGTTTTTTTGCTGAACTGCAATTATCTGAATCAGGTTTGTTGTGACAGAAACATCAGAAACCTGGGCAAGGCGGTGTGCCTTGAGGATCAGGCCTGACAAAAAACACTACTGTAGGCGACAATACATTAAAAACCTTGGTATACTGTGATAAAATGAGGAGAATTTCTATACAAGCCTGTAATATATATGATAAAACATGGACACAACATGTTTTACATCAGAACTGTGGCATCCAAAGCTTGCAGCAGCCACTGAAAAAGACAAATTCCTTGGATGCACGTTTGAGATTGGCGGATGATGACACAAACCTGTTTGTTGCAAAAATATTCCCTTCAGGACAAGCAGTTCAGCACATGCAAAAGCATGAGTGAAACTGTTCACAGCTCTCGTAAGTGCAAATACATTCACAAGATTCACCTCTGGCACACTCAACACCCTGAAAGGCCAAGCAGATCTGTGGACTGTATGCAGCCAATAGCCTTACACTGTTACAATGATATGCATACTTTTCTCAAACGGGATGCTGGCAGCGGGCCAGAGTGTCCAGTGTGCCTCTCAGATGCATCCTCGTGTTTAGCAACATGATACTGTAAAGGAAGCAGCCTCCAGAGAGGAAGACACATAAACTCGCTGCTTTAAAGT